ATCTGTAAATTAATATACAAAAGTTCTACGTTAACATCTCATCATGGGTGGGGTAAGCCTGGGTTCTCATGTTCCAGCAGGCCCTACCAAGGCTGGAAAGGTGCCGTCTCATGTTAGTCATATGAGGACCAACCTTATTAAATCTGAGTTGTGCATCACCAGTGTGGTCCTTTACCAAGGCCATCTGCTACACTACAAAGGGGTTGCGACCTATGTTGGTGGGAGGGAGTACCCTCACCAAACTCATGAATCCCTGAAGTATGAAAGCATTAATTAAGGATTAGTTTTTCTTTCTATGTAATTCTGTGGGAGGAATCATCTCTGGAAATCTAGGCCCAATTTTTTTTAATCACTACTCTTATTTATGTATTAAACTAACTTTAGATGGCTGGAAGGTCTGTGGTCAAATTACAGTGCGCTCTCCCTCCCACTCTTGTCTTTTCTCTCCTCCTTTTTCTTACCCTACCTCCCTAAGAGAGAAAAAGCATATGACATCTACAACAGTGATTCTTTCCCTTTTTTGTGTTGTGGCCCCTTTGGCAGTTTGGTAAAACCTATGGACCCCTTTTCAGAATCTTTTTTTTTTTTTGGCTAGGCAATGGGGTTAGATGACTTGCCCAGGGTCACACAGCTAGTAAGTGTTATGTGTCTGAGGCTGGATTTGAACTCAGGTCCTCCTGAATCCAGGGCCGGTGCTCCATCCACTGTGCCACCTAGCTGCCCTCAGAATCATTTTTTTAAAAATTGAAGGAAACACTAAATTTCATTTAGAGGTTAGTGGAAATAAATTTTTTTTTCTCCATTCAAGTTCATGGACCTCCTGAAATCTATCTCAGATTAGGATGCTAGGATAAGAACACTTGATCTAGAGGAAAGGGAGCAAATAACATTCTGGAGAAAAGAGTAAATAACATGGGACATAATTTCCACAGTACGTTTTAATCTCACTACAGTATCTGAATATCTTTTCTCTTTCTTTTTTTTTGGTGGTAATTGGTGCTTTTCATTTTTTAATTTAATTTTTAGCTCATACACATAATTAGATTGTACTCCAGGAGTTAATATCAATAATTATCTTTGAAAAAAAGTGATACAACTTTATCATAAAGAAACATACATAGTGATCTATATGTATATGTATATAATAATAAATTACAAAGATTATGACAGCTAGAATAATATAGTGGAAAATGAACTGGACATGGTATCAGGAGACTGATTTTGAGTCCTAATTTTGACACTGATTGTGTGACCTTGGGCAAATCATTTATCCTTTCTGGGTCCATTTTCTCATCTGTAAAATGGAATACTTGCATATTAGAAGGTTTTTGTTAGGGAAGTGACAGTAATATGGAAGCACTACAGAAATGTCAGCTAAGATCTGACAAGATTTTTTTAAAGACCAATTAGCATTTTGATTTTATGTAGTCCATTAATAAGCTATTTTGACTATGCTCCATAACAATAGTATACACATTTTATTTTGGTCCAGATCTATGATTTCATTAGTACAGAAAAGTCCAACTAAAGGAACTCCCCCAAAAAAACATGAGCTCCTTCAGGCAAAGACTGTTTTGCCTTTCTTCATTAGGCTCACCAGAACCTAGCATGGTGCCTGGCACATAATAAACAGTGGAAAAAATGGCTATTGATTGATGGGTTGATGCCTATGGGCACTGTGTTAGGACCAGGGTGTCTTCATTTCCCTGCTATAGGGATTAGGTTTCTCTAAAAGATACCAGAGCTTTTCCTGGAAAATAACTGGTCCCTCACTCCTTGAAATTTCTTGGTCATTTATAGGCATAAAAAGTCACAACCATGTGAATTCAGCCTCCTCTGACTTGGTGACTATATGAAAACCACATGAATACATACCTTGATGACCAGATGCATTTCCATATGGAGATACCCAATTTCAAAGAAGCTAAGGTGTCATTATAGCCTTATTTTATATCATTGCAGTTTAAGGGCAATGCTAACCTCCTGAATGCCTCACTTTGTCCCAGTATCAAACTAACAGGGTGCTGGCATTATGCCTGTCCCTAACTGGTACCAATTTTGCAATTTAATCTTAAAGAGTTGCCCAGCACACTAAGAAGTTAAGTGACTTGCTCAGGGGCAAATAACTGGTATATCAGAGATAGGACAGGAAGGCAGGGCTTCTTGACTTCTATTCCCTATGCCCCACTCCCTTTAAATTTATTGTCCCACTATAATATTAATCCATTTTTTTAAAGCACCTTAATGGAAAAGGCAAGAGCATATACAACATACAAAAACTAATGTGTGATGCAATGGATAAACACTTTAGCTAAACTGGAGTGACATGATATACATCTTTTGCATTATCTTCCAGCTTTAAATACAGTATACAATTAATGCTACAAATTTTATAAGTTGCTGTTACTGGATACAGAAAGCAAAGCATGAGGGCAATGCAAATCCTCAAGGTAGAATTGCAGATATAAAAAGAACGAAGAAACATGTCTCCAAATGTAGGGGAACAAGATACTGTTTCCTGAACTTAACCTAGCATGCTTCCACAGGACCACCCACATGAAAATTAATAAAACATTATGCGTCAGACGGTTTTCTTGAATTTCTTTCTTCAGTTCCTGGTTAAATCTTATTGAACCTGGGCTAAAAGGCTCGATTTCAACAATTTGTAGTCCAAAGTCCTATTTTCACAGAGTGCTAGACTTTGGTCACCAGATCCTACATGAGAAGAACCTGATGAAAAGTGGCTAGACCTTTGTCTCTTTCCTCCCACAAGGTGTCATAGCCTGCCCTACAGAGGGCTGCTTTTGCTGACTAGGGAAAGGATCCCTTATCCTTAAAAAAACCAAAAACCAAACACAAAACCCACACAAAAAAACCAACCCAACAACAATAATAGTCAACAATAACTGTAGCTAGATGAGATCTCATAAGCTGTAATGCCTTAAGTTCTTCGTGGCACTCTGACGAAATGGATGACACATTAGATGAATGAATCAAAGAATTTTAGAGTTGGAAGAGACACTACTGGCCATGTAGTATAACCCATCTACAAAAGGAATTTCCAAAATAAACATACTGGAAAAATGGTTCTGCTCTGCCATAACCAAAAATGGTTCAGGCTCTGCCTGAAGACCTCCAAACAGTGGGAAATCATCATCTACCAGGCAGTTCATTTCAATCTTGGATTGTTCTAGTTGTTAGGAAGTTTTTCCTCATATCAAGCCTAAATTTTCCTCTTTATAGCTTCCACCCATAATTCTGCTCACTGAGGCCAATCAATCAATCAATCAACATTTATTAAGAGCCTACTACATGCTAAGCACTGGAGCAGAACAAATCTACTTCATCTTGACATCCCTTCAAACACTTAGAAGACAGCTGATAATTGTTTTTTGTGCTTTTTTTTAATTGAGGGGATGTGATAAAAACTTTTCAAAGTGCCAGGGTACAACTTTCTTGAGAAAGAATTCCTTAAGCTTCATGTACTGTTTCCCCCTGCCCAAGCCTGTTGGAAGATCATCCTGGCAAGTCACTGATTATTCAGCCTGGACTCTGCCACTGACAGTTCTTACTTCTCTTTGGGACCAGACCCTGGAGAATTTTCCTTTTCTAGAGACCCAGGAATTAACAGAGCAATAATAGCGACCAGAGAAGTAATAGGTGAAGAAGGTGGAGTTGGAGGAGGGCTAGGAAGGAAAAGTTCAAGCATAAAGCAGACGAGGGAAAGGAAGTCAACGGAGGTGCTAGTTGATTGATTAGTTGACTGAAGGGGAGAGAGGAAGGAAAGAAAAGGAGAAAGGGAGAGGAGGGGGGAAGTAGAGTAAGAGAGAGAGGGAAAGAAGGCAGAAAGAGTGAAGAAGATAGGATAAAACAGGTGAGTAGGGAAGCAGGAAGGAAAAAGAGGCCAGAGGTAAGAAGAGTAGGAGAGTAAGGAGAGGTAGGGAAAAGGGGGAAGAGGAAGATTAAGGAAGTGGAAGAGTAAGGGAAAGCAAAGGACAGAGCAGGGAGTAAAAGAGTGAGGAAGGTAAGGGAATAAGTAGAGAAAGAACCGGAAGGAGAGAGAGGAAAAGGAGATAGGAGGAGACAAAGAGAGAAGGAGCAGGAGGGAGAAAGGAAAAGCAGGAAGAAAAGGGAGAGAGGAAGAAGGGGGGACATAAAGAGAGGGAGTAAGAGGGTAATGAAGAGAGAGGAAAAGAAAGAGGAGGAAGAAGAGAAGGAGGAAAAGTCCCACCTAAAATCCCACCTTTTAGAGGAAGCCTTGTCTAATCCCTCTTAATGCCAAGGCTTACCCTCTTTTTAATTATTTCCTATTTATCCTACTTATAGTTTGCTCTGAATATATTGTATGTTGCCTTCCCCATTCAATTGTAAGCTCCTTGAGAGCAGGGACTATTTTTTGCCTTTTTGTATCCCAGAGCTTAGCAAAGTGCCTGGCACACAGTAGGCACTTAATGTTTATTGACTGGTTGATTGAAAAAAGGAGAATGAGTAGAGAAGAGACCAAGAATGAGGGAGAAGAAAGGGGGGGGTAGGGGTAGGAAAGAATAGAGGGAAAAGGGAAGAGAATGGGAGAGAGGAGGGGAAGAATATAGGGAGGAGGAAAAGGGAAGGGGAAAATGTGAAAGAAAGAGAGGAAGACAAGGAGGTAGGGAGGAATAAATGGAAGGAGGGGGCAGAGGGAAGAAAGGAAGAGCAGGGAGAAGTTGAAAGGGAGGCAGAAGAGATTGAAAAGAGAGGCAGAAGAAGGGAAGAAGTTGAGGAACGAAGGAGGGAGAAAAGAGGAAGGCAGAAGGGAAGAATCGGGGACAGAAGGAGGGAGAGAACAATGAGGCTGAATACATTGCGGAGGGCGAAGCCGGGCAGGGTGCAGCCCCGGGAGGGCCGGGCGCGGGGCGGGGCTGGTTCGGGGGCGTGGCCTGGGCCAGGCTCTGGGGCTAGTCCTCCAAGCCCGCAGCTCCAGCAGGGGTCGCTGCTCCGCCGTCCCCGCTCGGCGGCAGCCCCAGGCCGCTCTCTCTCAGCTCTCCACTGTCCTCGTTGCTCTGCGCCGGCGCTGGGGTGGAAGGGGAAGGGGCTGTCAGGCCGGGCCGGGGCAGCAGTCGAGGGGTCCCCGCCCCTTCACGCACTGAGGTAACCCGCCCCCACCGGACGCCCCTCTAAGCCGGGTGGGCGCAGCCGGAGCCCGCGTGACCCACCCACGTCCCCAGATCCGCGGACAAGCCCCGAATGTGTGTGGGGGCTTGCCCACGTGGGTGTGGGGGGCTACAGGGGGAGCGTTAAGGGGGGAGGTAGCCCCAGGGGAGGGGGTGGGGAAGCTCTGTACTGCGGAAACCTGAGCGTCAGGTTTCCCTGTGCTCTTGACCTTGGGGAAAAGGCGCAGGGCTCTGTGGCCTTCCTGTGGGGGAGCCGAGGGGGGAGGGGGCCAAGGAGGAGTCCCGGGCCCTTGGGGGGAGGGGTTAGGAGGGTAGCGGGGGGCAAGGTGAGCCCGGGGCGCAGCGCAGGGCCTTGGGCGCTAGGCCAGGAATCTGGGGGACGCCGGGCTCTGCTGAGGCCTCTACACGCTTTTAACAGCCTTGTGGCTTCGGGCTAGTCACTTTCTCCAGCCTCAGTTTCCTACTCTGTAAAAGGGGAGAATAGTAGTAGCACCTATCTCCCGGGGTGGTTGTGTGTGTGGCTCAAATGTTCTTTGCAAAACTTAAAGCACCATGAAAAAAATGCTAACTTACCGCACTGGGGACTTGCAGAAAGGAAGATCTGAGTTCAAATGCAAGCCTCAGATTCTTAAATACTTCATGACCCTCTGGGCAAGTCACTTAACCTGTCTCCTCAGTTTGCCCACCTGCAAAATGGGGATAAATGATAGCACCTGCCTTCCAGGGTTTTTGTGAGGATTGTATGAGAGTCTATGTAAATCACTTTGTAAACCTTAACTGTGCTGCATAAATGTTGGAATTCTTTTCTTTTCTGAGGAGCCCATTGCCCTTTATAACTCCTAGAATTTCTCTGCAGGAGTGGGGGTGTGCAGCTGACTGAGTAGAAGATTCCCTTGTCTTTGAATAGGAGTTGTTAATTTGGAATCTATGGTGTCCTGTAGATACATTTCATGGAGTCTGAAAAAAAATTATATCTTTATTTTCACTAACCTCTGACTGAAATTTAGCGTTTCTTTCCATTATGAATGTAGGCAATAAGCCAGAGTATTAGTATTAGCGGTACCGTGACATTGTCACCAATAGAAATCAGATATTTTTATAACACATTATAATTGGAGCTATCTCAAAATATTTACACTCCTCACTACTATCCTATATGACTGCAGCTTTCATGTCTAAAGACTGTATTTCAATACAATTTGTTTTCTTTGTAATCTAATGTATCATATATATTAAAAACATTTTGCCGAGAAGGGGTCCATAGGCTTCACCAGACTGCCTAAAGGATCCATGACACAAAATGAGTTTAAGTATTCCTGATAGTGGAAGTCTCAATAGGGATTGATTGAGGTGTGTGTTGCTAGCCTCCTTCCTCTCTTCCTTAATTTCCCTCCTCCTCCCCCAGTGTGAGTACAGAACTTTGTTGGGTTTAGTCTTGACCTTTAAGGAGTGTAGAACACATGAAACAGAGGAGATAATAATATACAATAGATGAGTGGTTTGTGGTATGGTACCAATTATGAGAGCTCTAAGACAGATTGCCCTGAGAGTCCCCAGTGGTGGGACTCTCGCCTTCAAAAGAGCATTGTCTCTTGAGTCAAAGGACCTAGAATCAAATCCCATCTATGACATTTGCTACCTGTGTAACCTCAGGCAAATCATTTATTTTACTTGGGTCTGTTTTTTCATTGTGTAAAATTAGGGGGTTGAACCAGATGGCTTCTGAGGTCTCTTTCTAGCACTAGTTTTGCTGTTTGTCCTTCATTTTCAAAGAGGGCCATGACATCAGGGAGGTGATGCCATGACATGCAAGTGAATTGGATTTAAGTGAGGGAGAGCTGGGCAAAGTCACCAGTCTCACTTTCTCTGCTGGAGCCATCTGGGTCCAGTGGTGAGATATAGATCAGGATGACTGGAGATAGCTCTGGATGCAGTGGGAGACTTTGGGCCTTTTTAACCGGTCTCAGTTTGATTGAGGCAGTGCCCATTCAGTGGTTAAGGCTAGGTAAGAAATGAGGCACAGAATGGCCTCTTTACCTAATTAAAAAAAATATCTATCTATCTATCTATCTATCTATCTATCTATATCTATCTATCTGTCTGTCTATCTCGAACTGGGAGGGGAAGACCCTCAGGGTTTCTGGCCTCTAGTTTTATGATCCATAATGTCTTTAGGCTGGAATAATTTGGGAAGGACTGGGTAGGAATTGTGCATGCAAAAAGGAAAGATTTGAGTGGGATTAAGTAAATGCTATAAAAGTCAAAGCTCCTCTTGAAGGAGGTGTGACAGTTTCTTCTTTCCAGCCATCTTGGTGCCCTGAGGACCTTATCCTTATCCACTTATTCTTGTCTAGAATTATCTACTCTAGGTGGAGGTCCTAAGGGACTACTAAGTGGCTTACTCAAAATCCTATCCAGTGGAATTGTAGAGATTCAATTTGATTTCAGGTCTTTTGACTCCAGATCTTCAAGCCACGGAGAGCTGGCATGAGTTGGCAGAGAACATAGGATCACAGGAGTTAGAGCTAGGAGGGGCTCTAGACATACTCTAGACCAACCCACTGGGTTTTTTTTTTAGATGAAATTGAGCAAGAGAAGGCAAGTGATTTCCATAAGATTTCCATCCCTAGCATTTTACATGGAGTAGTCACTTCATAAATGTTGGCTGAATTGAATTGACTTCCAAATCTAATAGGTATAGCCCTGACCTCTAACCCGAGCACCAATGTTGTATCTGATTGTCCGTAGGACAGCCTTGTCGTTTAGTGGGAAAAGCTCTGGTTTGGCCTCAGGGTCCTGGGTTTTAATCATGACTCTGCCACTTTCTACCTGAGTGACCTTGGATAAGTCATTTGACATTTCTGGGTCTCTCAGTTTACCCATCTGTAAAACGAAAGGTTTGGAGTAGTTGATCTCTAAGGTCTCTTAGCTTTAAATCTCTAGTCCTACGTCCCTACGTTCAGGGGTTACAGTCCTTTTACATGAATACCAGAAAGCAAAAAATAATTTGCTGAAGTGTGTTAACAAAAGTGATAAAAACTCAGTGCCTTAATCCCTCCCCACTGGGTAGGCACCCCACTAATGCATCTAATTGATGCAACATGTTATTTTGAGCTGATGCTACCATGTTTAGGGCCTTAGCTATACAAAGTAGCTGTTGTGACCATGGGCAAGTCACTTAACTTCTATCTGCCTCATTTTCCTCATCTGTAAAATGGGGATAATAATAGTGTGTACCACCAAAAGCTGTTGTGAAGATTAAATGAGAAAATATTTTTGAAGTGCTATATAAATACTAGCTATTAAATTTATTATTATTGATGGGAGTAGAAGGGCTTGAACTTGAAACTTATTACAGTGGAAGACCATCATAGGGAAGAGACCTCTAAGCCCATCTAATCCAACCCCTTCATTTTACAGATGAGGAAACTGAGGCCCAGGGAGGTTAAGCATCAGAGATAGTGTTTGACTCCAGAGACACTGCCCTTTCCCCTCATCCAAGGTACGCAATATTTCCTGTCTCCTGAGTTGCAGATAGTTCTTCCCTTAGCTTATGAAGTATTTCAGGGTGTTATGGAAAGTATATTCTTTCACAGAAAAGGAAGAGGTTAAGTAACAAGTCTTGGTTACTTGGTGATTTGGGGAGGGAGAGGAAGTAGATTTTGGAAGTGCTAAAAAGCATTGTGTAATGTATGAAGAGCTAGTCTCTCAGTTTGTAGCCCTTGGTTTCAAGTCTTACCGATGACATATCAGCTATGTGACTGGGTAAGTCACCTAACCTCTGAGTGCCCCAGAGTGCCTCAGTTATCCAGCCTGCCCAAGTCACCTAATGTCTGAGTTTCCCAGGCAACTCTTTAAAACTACAAGTTGCAGAGAAGGGGTTCCTATACTGATGAAATCACAAGTCCCAGTTCAGAATTTATCCAAAGTGATAAATAGAATAGATCCTACCCTTTCTGGGTTGTTAGTGTTTTGATGCCTTGCAAACCTTAAGTGTTATATAAATTTAAATTAATCCTATTATTGTTACATGTAGATTCACTAGAAACAGCTAGATTACATAGTACTGATGGATTAGGAAGACCTGAGTTCAAATCCTGCCTCAGATACTTAGTCACTGTTTTCTTTCAATTTTAGTTTCCCCACTTTTAAAATAGGGATAATGACCCAGCAATAGCACTCCTAGGGCTGTATCCCAAAGAGATCATACAAATGGGAAAAGGACCCACATGTACAAAAATATTTATAGCAGCTCTTTCTGTGGTGGCAAAGAATTGGAAATTGAGAGGATGCCCATCAATTGGGGAATGGCTGAACAAGTTGTGGTATATGAATGTAATGGAATACTATTGTGCTATAAGAAATGATGAGCAGGAAGACCAGAAAAACCTGGGAAGACTTGTGTGGTCTGATGCTGAGTGAAGTGAGCAAAACCAGGAGAATGTTGTACACAGTAACAGCCATGTTGTGCGACGACTAAAATTGATAGACTTAACCCTTCTCAGCAATACAAGGATCTAAGGTATCTCCAAAGGCCTCATGATGGAAAATGCTGTCCACATCCAAAGAAAGGATGTGGAGTTGGAATGCAGATTGAAGCATACTACTTGCTATTTTTTTTTCTTCTGTTGTGTTTTGTTTCCTTTTTCTGGTGGTTCCTTCTATTGGTTCTAATTCTTACTTATAACATCACTAAAGTGAAAATATGTTTAATAGGAATGTATATATATACCTTATATCAGATTGCATGTTGTCTTGGAGAGGGAGGGGGAGAAAAATTTAAAACTCAAAAGCTTATGGAAGTGATTGTTGATAAATCAAAATAAATTAATTACATTTTAAAAAGAGATAATGACAGCATTTACCTCATGGAGTTGTGAGGATCAAAGGAAATAACATGTAAAGGACTTTGTAAACCTTAAAGCCCTATATAAAGCCAGCCATTCTTCACTGTTACTGATCTAGATCTTCTCTGTCTCCATGGCCTTCTCTGGTAAACTACTCTGGACCAAATGTCCCTTCTGTTAATAGTTATGACCCGTCTTCTGCCAAATGGGACAGGATGGGATGAAAAGTAATTTCTGGCAGTATTTCTTCATCAGTATGAGTAAGTGACTGAGAGTCTGTGGCCTGTAGTTGGGTTAGCCATATGACAGTGTGTGGCTTTCACTGCCTGATAAATTGTTTACATCACAGGAAGTACTTTCTTGGGAGAATTTTAAATTAGAGCTATTCTGTAAAAGCAGCCCCTGATTTGAGCCTGCTCTATTTCTTACGTGAGATGCAGAAGTAGACTAGGGGACCCTGAAAGCACTAGGACAGGAGGTCGTGTGTTTAGCGTTCTTCTGTCTCATCAAACCAGCAAAAAACAAGGCCCCAAACGGCAGCAGATGGAGGCTGGCAGCATGTCACAGTAGCTTCTAACTGCATGCTTTTGTGTGAGACTTGTGGATGGCTATTGTTGAACACTTTGTGTTATATGGCGAGATGAAAGGGGAAAAAAGATAATGAACTGTGAGTGTCATTATTAAAGGATATCAATTGTAAAGTATAACCTTAGCAAAAGAGTACTTTTTCAGACTCAAGTACCAACTGTTGGCCATTTAGAAAGCGTTTGTGTTTTATGGTTGTAGAATCAGTTTCTAAAACCAGTTTTGCACACATTGGGAAGCTTATTTATATATTCTATAAGAAGGTGGTTTCTAGGTAAATTGATTGTTCTTTGGCTCACTTTGGTGGTATATGAAAATTTTTATATCATTGACATTACCCTCCCTCAGCCCCTTGTCTTTTTGTTTCCTGGCTTGCCTATTTTTCTGCTATGGGTTGGAGAAGGGACCTTGCCTCTGGTGACCTAGTCAGAGCCAAAAGTCCCTTCTGTTCATCTTTATCATCCATTCTCTATCAGATAGAACAAGATAAGGAAAATGCTAAGGGAAGAGGAGGAAGTGAAATTCAAATCTCTCGATTTAGCTAGTTAGCAGTTTGGGTTGAGGTCAGGAAGGAGGTTGAAATGAGGGAAGGTTGAGAATTTTCTTTGGATTTCACAAATCCTTGTTATCACATCTCATTAGCATAATCAGGAACACTATTTACAGAAGAATTTTCCTTAAAATTTTCTCTACATAATTTTCCAACTTTAAAAAAAAATTATTAGGAAATTACCAATAATTGTACCCATTGGCATGCTTGGCCACTATTCCCAAAGCTAATTCTTTTCCTTAAGTAGAACCAAGGCTGTGTATGAATAAATGGCTTAATTACTTTGAATGTGTGGAGCATAGTCACTTACTTGAATCATATCCTCTAGCTGTAGGAAAGAATTAAATTCGACCTAAGAAAAGGAGATGGCAGGTCTATATTATGAATTTTTTATGTTATGCAATTTCAGTAATACCACATTTGGAAAATACATCTGATTTAATGTCTTCTGTTTCAGGTGATGTGTGCTATGACTAGTCTCAGATTGCCCATCCGTGCTTTAAGAAAACCGAATGTCTGGATAGGACCCTGGGGGACATCTCTTGCACATAAACCCTGTACCTCTTGGAGTCAGTACATAAATTCTGCTAGTTATCAGTTAAACACATCAAACTATAGAACATTATTCTTCTGTGGCATTTCCTCTGTGAAACTCCCAGGGCTTTTAATATCCCCAGAATGCATTTCACTCTTTTCTATAAGACTCAAAAGCAACACAGGGTCTAAAAAGACCAGTAAAAAAGCTTTGCAGAAAGTAGAAGATGATGACGATGATTCTGATGAAGATCGGGGAGAGATGAGTGAGCAGGAAGATGAATTTGAAGATGACCCCAATGTAGTAAAAGACTATAAGGATCTGGAGAAAGTCGTCCCTTCTTTTCGGTATGATGTCATCTTGAAAACAGGGCTGGATCTTGCAAGAAAGTAAGTTTGGAAGGTGTATGATGGTACTAACCATTAGCTATTTTGTTTTTTATATCAGTTGATGTAGTCTAGCTTTACAAATACTCATGTGCCCACCCTGGATGACTAATAGCATAGAATAATAGAATCACAGAATTTCAGAGCTAGAAAGTTCCCAAGAGGTCATCTTATCCAGTATCCTCATTTTACAAGTAGAGAAATCAAGGTTTATAAACGTTAGTGACTTGACACCCCGCAGCGAGTTTTGGGGAGAGTTGAGAACAGAACTTAGGTCTTCTGCCTCTTAGACCAAAGTTCTTTCCACTTTGCCATATTATTTATACTAAAAATGGGGGGGCGTTAATTTAAAAGTGGCCTTTGGCTACTTTTGGATCCATGGGGAAGGATGAGGCGTAGGATGGTTGGTCACACAAGTTGATTTTTTAAACAGTTTTTTAGGGAGTCATTAATGTTTTTCTGTACCTCTTGCTCAGCTAGCTATAAAAAGAGTGAAGATTCTCTGGAAGCTGATAACTTTAAAGCATTTTACTCTCCACAGTTGAGTTTATTAAGCATTACTTTTCTCTGTCACTTTATTCCCTTGTTTATTCAAGCGTTCAGTTTGCCAGACATCCTGTGTGTATATAGAGGACTGTTTAGTTTTTCAGTGCCTTGATGCATCTTCGACACCTGTATGGACACAGCATGTATTGGAGCTTCAGGCAGTCAGTGGCAGTGACTGCCATCAGCACATAGTGGCCTGATTCTCCTCTGGCCAGTCAGAATGATCCCTATATTCTCCATTCTAAAGTCTGATGGTCCTACTAAGGTGGCTTTTCTCTCTACCACAGGCATATCTGCTACTTAGTTTATATAAGCCAAATCACAGAGAACAGGAAAAACAACAACAACAAAAGAAAAAAGAAACAACCCCTTGCTTGTTATTTGATGGTCTTAAAAAAATAAAAAGCCAAGTGAAAATGAGATAGTTTTTTGTGTCTTTTCTCTTAATCCAGTTGCGACATAAATTTCAGTAGGATGAGATAAACATGGGAGATGCCCATTTAGCAGCTGTTTAATTGCAGTACAGCTGTGGGGTTTGTAGATGGCACTCACTGTACGTACTGCTTCCGATTTCCTAGAGCAAAAAAAAAATGATGATAAAGAATACAGTAACTCTTTTTAGGAGGATCTCACCAATTTGGCAGCTCTTAGTTGATAAGGTTGATAAATTGGCAGACAAGTTCCCAGGTGGCAGGATACCAGAGAGGCCCTGCCCTAGACAGTAACCTCAACGTGTGCCCATGTTGGGCTCATTAGAGTACTAGTTGGCAACACAAGGGCAGCAGTGTGACATCTGTGCATCAGTTCACTGATTCGGAAATGGCCTTTGGTGTCATTGTTTTAGACACACGTGGAATTAACCCTTGATGCCGCATTGCTTTCAATGTGAACAATCAATTTAGTCCCCTAGTTATTCATTCACTATTGCTGGTAGACTTTCTCCAGCAAGTCTGTTGACTGTTGTAAATACAATACTACTCTACAGCATCACTCTCTCTTTTTTTCCCCTAAAGTAAAATAGAAGATGCATTCTATAAAGGTGAACTCAGATTGAATGGAGAAAAATTGTGGAAGAAAAGCAGAACGGTGAGTTGTTGAAACTTAAGTTGACATTGAAATACATTTGTCAGAGATACTGCCAGTCCTGAGCTGATGCCGCTCCTTCCCTCATCCCAAATCCATTCATTCCCCTGGTAGGAACATGAGTACTCAAAGCATAGCCAGGGCCAGTGGCCCTTAAGAGATTTTGGTGGGAATGAGAGACAAAGATCATATTAAAGAATTTTATTCTTCAGCAGTTTCAGTGGTCATTTTAATGATTCATCTCTTTTTTTCTATAGTATTGGAAGTCAAAGTCAGAAACTAGGAAGATCCATTGACTAAACCCTTGAGTTTTCTTTGCTTCTTCCACAGTAACACACCCTAAATAGCAGTGGAGATGGTTTTCATTCGAGGGTTTCTTTGGCTTCACATCAAAGAGCCAGTGTTCTCTTCAGTAGTCAGTTAAACAAATGTCTCTTCCTAGCCCAGTGCTAGGTCCTGTAGGAAATACAGAATAAGCACGTGACAAGGCCTTTGCTGTCAGTGAACTTACAATCATTAGAACAGCACAAGGCAGCACCACAATTGGGTTTGGCCAGAAATGGTGCTGATAAACAGTGCCTATAGGAGTTTTGAGAATTTAGCGAAAAAGGATCCCTGTGGGCTGAAGTCCTTAAGGGTTCAGGAGGAAGTGAGACTTGAGATGGACCTTGGAGGAGCAGGAGGTATGGTTTAGATGGAGGATTCTGAGCCTGGCATTTGGAAATTTGTTGTTTTCTTAAATTTAGGTAACTGTTCTAATTATTTTCCTTTGTAATTCTATGTATTGTATTTTATTTCATTTAGTAAAAACCTTTATTGTAAGAAGAGTTCTGTCAACTTCACCAGATTGACTGCTAAAGAGGTTCATGACATGGAAATGGTTAAAGACCCCAGGTTCAGACAGAGAGAGGGAAGAAAATAGAAAAGAGTGTGGGGTAGGTGAAGGACAGTAAGGAGACATTGGACTTTGTTAGTATTATTGAAGTAAAAACTTTAAAAAAATTAAACATGTTTAGTGGATATTTTAGAATCATGTATTTTTTTCCTATGGTGTGAAACATGTATAACTAATGCTTTCAGTGCCCTAAAGGAACTACTTTGCATAAGATGTAAACATGTGAATTTCAGAGGGCACCTGTTACTGTAGAAGCTTCCTTTGAAAGCCAGAATAATTTTTGCAGGTAAGAATTTAGTAGGGATCCCAGTAATTCTGGGAAAAACAGCTAAGGAGTACTTTTTATTTTTCATTGTAAACTCCCTTTTCATTTCAGAATGATTCTTGGCACATTGGTTTCTAAGAGCAGTGTCTTGATAATTCTAGGGCACTCCACGGGATGTTCCTTGTTTGGGGGAATGTTATTGTAGAAGCTCTCCCAACTAAACATATAAGACATGAGGAAAACCTCTTTATTTCTTCCCTCTTCCTCCTAGTTTCATAGTCCCTGCCCTCAGGCAAATGAACTCTTCCTCTTTGACCTTTATGGTTTTTATAGTGGGAGATCTCATGTCAGTCAGTCGCTGCAGATATAAATTGCAAAAATTTTAGCAAATTGGTCATTCATCCTGAAGCTGGGCTGAGCATTTTGTATCTTTGCTTTTTTTCCTTGAACTTAGTCCAGCGACTTCCTCAGTTCTAATAACTATTGTATTATTCTGCATACAATATTCCCAGAGTAAAAAATGATTGCATCCCAGCCTGGTCATCTCTTCACTCCCAACACTATGCCTTTTTTCTCCCTGCTATGATGTATTGTTAACTACCGCCTAATTGCTTCTTTACCAGCCCATCTTCAGTTTTATATTGTGCCTCACTGCTTTCCAGATTTCTCATGGGGGGTCAGTGGAGGTTGGGGGCAGTATTAACATTCTGCTGCCAGAGAGGCTGTCCTGCCTGTTACTGGGAAGTCTGGTAGTCATGGTAACAGTGTAACTAAGTGGAGATTTGAAATGTAGATGGTTGGAACCACTGATCCAAGCCAACTCTGCTTTGTATAGATATTGGGCCTGGTTTTCCTCCCTGGACCCCACGATAGGGAGAAGAGGGAACAGAGAATTGTCATTTGGATGCCCCAGGAGGTTGCCCCTGCCTAGGTACTATTCCTGGCTAATCCCTTGTTCAGCATCGAAGCTATGCCAAGAGCCGGCAAAAACTTTTCAAAGTGCTGAAAATGAAGGGCTTTTCAAGTATTAATCTGTGGAGCTAGTAACTTTGTACAGAATATAAGATAACTTTGTATAGCCACGTGCTGTCAAACTCCATCTGCCCCTTATTTAGGCTCCTTAAATAAGCATTTATTATTATGAGAACATACAAGAGATCAGAAAAGCATCAGAAACATTGTTTTCTGAATGAATTTCCTCTGAAACATTCTCCTGAATGAAGTCAAGGGGGGATCCAGTCTGCTGTACATGGTAGTATAATTGTAGACCTTAGACTCAAGCCAGGGGTTCACATCTGAGCTCTGATGCTTATTAGCAGTGTGACCAGGCCAGTAACCTAAACCTTTCCTCAGATGTAAAATGAGAGTACTTATACTTCTACTGCTCACCTCAGAGGTGGCTCTAGATTGTAAGTAATGCCAGAGTTCTTGTGAGTAAAGCATTATTTAAACTTTACAAAGTACTACATAAATGTGATAACTTATTACTGTTCTTTCCTCATGGGACAGAATAGACATTGTCTGTTGCTTTCATGCACTTGTTCTCATTTTCCCCCAGAAAATTAGACATTGGATAACCACAACAAGAAAGCTGTGACCAGGTTTTAAAGTTCCTTAAAACTGGTCCAGCTCACTTAATCGGGTGGGCCTGTGCTGTACTGTGGGGCCTATGCCTCTCAGGGAAGGCCAACACATCCTGGAGAACATGTTTTGCTTCCTTTCAGTATGGGGGTGACTAAATTGATAGGTTTTAAAATCTGCTGTTTCATGGGTATCATGCATGCACTGGCTACTAGATTTGAATACAGTTGTGCCAAGTTGTACTGATTCGCCAATTTTTTATTTGAAACAAAGGGCCTTTGATGCCCCCACTGGAGATGGCCTTTGGGCAAGGTGGTCCATGGGTAAATCTCAGTATGGCACTTTTTAGTCTGTCAGAGCTTGAAGTCAGATCAGTCAATTAGTATTTATTAAGGGCCTGCTGTAGGCCACACACTGTGCTAAGGGCTAAGTATACAAAGAAAGGCAAAAAAACAGTTCCAGCTCTCAAGGAACTCTTACAGTCTGATGAAGGAGTCAACTGCAGACAGTTATGTGTGTGTATACATATGTACATACATGCATACATATGTGTGTGTAAATAAAATAGGGATAGTTTCAAAGAAGGGGTAATAAGATTAAGGAAGATTGAAAAAGCCTTGCAGCAGGTGGGACCTTAGAGGTCATCCAGTCTACTCTCATTTTATAGATGAGGAAACTGAGGTCCATATATGTTAAGTGATCAGCACATAGTCATACAGCTAATAAGTTTCTGAGGCAGGATTTGAACTCAAGTTTTTCTGTCCTAAAGGACATTTAGGGATAATTATACACATTTATAGAAAAGAAGGTAAAAATAAGGCACTTATTTTTATAATATAATATAATTTTAAATATAAGGACCATATTTTTTATTCTCACCTGCAGGGCAGAGTAAATTAACTAGCCTTTTAAGTATCTGTGAATCCCAGTCATTTTATATAGGAGAAAACTAAGGTCCAGTGACTTAACCAACATCACAATTAGTTAAGTAGAAAAGCCAGGATTTAAAGCCACGTCCTCTAATTCTAAACTCAATTCTTTCCCACCTTGCATCTCCTGGGGTCTGTTCCTATAAGTCTGATATTTTGAGGTAAAATTTCTGGCTCCTTTCTTACTAGGACTACCTACGGACATGTTGTTTGCTTCCATTTCTGCAAGAAAATGTTCAGTGTCTGATAGGATGGATGACTGTGGGTTCTACAAGAACCAGACTGAAAGTCTGTGCACCAAGGTTATTTGGCAGACAGATAAACAGACCTAATTTGAAACCAACAAAAAGGTAGTATATCATAGCACCCCTGTGACTTGCAAAGTGCCTCCCTGTGCTCATGCCTAGTGCAAACTTGTACTTGAGTCTTTACCTCACAGGTGAGCCCTTTGGAACATTACAGCAGAGTGAATGGTGGAATCTCCAAAGACTTGTCAGGAGTTCACCAAAGCAACAGGTTATTTGAGCCTGATCTTCCTTCTATAATGAATCATAAGATCATAGAGGTCATCTGGTATAGCCTTTTTGTTTTATGGCTGAGAAAAATGAGGCCCAGAAGGTAGTTAAATGGCAGGCAAAGGACTAGTGGGAAGCAGCCTTAGAAGGAAAACCAGGCTTTCTGTGTGTACTGAGTCCTGCCCTGCATTGTAGGAAGATAATCACTGTGCTCTGTTGTCAGTACCAGCTGAATTTCTAGCTCATGAAAAACAAATCATACTCAAATGGAGTGTTTTATAAGCCAGTCTCTATTTTCCAAAATGTCATAATGATCACTTTTAAATTTTCAGGTGAAAGTGGGTGATACACTGGATCTCATCATTGGAGAGGATAAAGAATCAGAAACAGAGACAGCTATGCGAATTGTCCTGAAAAAAGTGTCAGAAGAGAAAACTGAGTCTGAAAAGTACCGAGTGCTTTTACGCCGGTGGAAAAAAATCAAGTTGCCCAAGAAGAGCATTTCTAAATAACCAGATTCCTATGGTAGCAAGAATACAGGAACTCAAGTGGTTTTCATCTAGTGGGGAAACGGGGCAAAGGGGGCCTTTCTGAAAAAGGACATTTTTATTAAAATAAAGTCTCGTGGGTTCTGGAGTCTGCTAGACCATTTTGTGAAAATGGGGATAAGCAGCACATCTCCATACATGCCTAGTGCTAGGCTTGAGCAAGTTTCTCTTGGTGACTTGGTTAGTGCTTGGTTTGACTTTTTTCCTGGGTGTGGGAATGAATAATATGGTTTCCAGGTCATTTCACCCAGCATAAGATGTGCAGTGAATGAATTAAGTCCAGAGAGCTTTTTTAATGATTTGCTTGTTTTCCTAACTTAACTACCTCATGACTGTGTTGTAAAATAAAACTGGCCTTGTTGTTTCTTAATGTTTTTATTTCAGTTTTATACTTATCAGCCTAAATGCCTCTCTGAGACTAAACTTCCTCTAGCAAAGAAAAGCGCAAGCAAGACTGCTCTTCATCCAGATAACTCAGGTAGAAGTATTAGCGAGGATTGTTCTGGCTCAAGTTACCCAAGTCCACGATGGCCGCCCTTTCAACTCTTTTATCTGCATACCCTTGGGCAGCAGGGGCAAGATGTGACCAACCAGATAAGGTTTGAACGTAAACCAAATAAAATGGGTTAGGAGTCTCCTGGAAGGTGACTGGCTAGCACCACAAGCAGAAATGTTTTTGTTGGTTTGGTTAAGGATGCGCAGTGTCAAAGACTATATTGACTTTTAGGACCTTCTCTTTTGTCCTCAATCTTTGAGCCTTTTAAGGTTGGGAAGGCCCAAGTAAAGGGACTTCCTAGTAATGAAAAAACTTGCTAAGTCTAAATCAAAGCACATGGTACTAGGGCCTGCGACCCAGAAGTCTTCCATCAGCCCTGGTTTATTTTAAAACAGGTCACAGAAAGGTGATTGTAGAAAATTGGTTTTTATTAAAAGGTTAAATAAACTCTCAGGAGCTCATGATAAATGTCCTCTGCAGTGTTGCCAAGGGAATTTTTTATTTTATTTTATGGCTGGTTAATTTAATTTTTACTAAGCCATCATGAATTATTTATGAAATACTTGTGAAGTTGGATCCATGCTCAGATTTTCTCACCTCCCCCCCAAACCTTCCCTTCCATAATGAGAATGCTTAAGATAGAAAGACATGGATGGTGGGAGGCAACCTGTTAACAATGGAAAGAACAGGGCCTGCAACTCAGGAAGACCTGGCTTTTACTCCCATCTTTGCCATTAAATAGGTATGTATTTGGTCAAGTTACTTACTTTAATTAGGAACAGCTAAGTGGTACAGTAGATTAAATTACTGGGTTGGGAGTAAGGAAGATCTGAGTTCAAATCCTACCTCTAACCCAGGGCAAGTCACAATGTCTCAGCCTTAGTTTCTTGGACTGCAAAAAGAGGGGAATAGATTTAATGGCTCTAAGGTCTTTTCCAGCTCTATGCCTATGATCCCTTGTTGTTGTTGAGACGTTAAAGTCGCGTCTAACTCTTTGCAACCCTTTTTTGGTTTTCTCAACAGACACTGGACCAGGTTCACCTTTTCCTTCTCCAGACCATTTTACAGATAAGGAAATCCAGGCAAACAGGGTGAAGTGACTTGCCCAGAGTTATACAGTAAGTGTCTGAGGCTGGATTTGAACTCATGAAAATGAGTCTTCCTGATTCCAAGCCCAGCGCTCTATCCATTGCATCACCTAGCTGCCCCTTTTATCCCATGTACTTCTCCATGATTCAGTTTTTTATCTGTCAGGGATTGTACTTGTCATTTGATTGGTATAGGGAATTTCCAGGTGAAGAAATTTCCTCTTAGGATCTAGGCTGCAGCCTTTTTTTCTTTGCAGTGTATCTTTTTAAAGCTGTCTAGAGTGCTGTACACCCAGTTTGGGACAAGTGGCTGAGTGACTTCCACATGGTGATATAGCCAGCATGTCACAAACAGGACTTGAACCCAGGCTCTCCTGACCTTGAAGCCAGCTCTCAATCCACTCCATTAAATGAGAATAATACTGCCCCACTTAGGTTAATGTGAGGATCAGAAGAGAGATGAAAATACTTTGAGAATGTTTTGAAAACCATGGATTTTCTCCTTTGGGCTCACAGAATGATTGACAAATGAGCTTGATTCCCTCTCTGGGTTTGACCTAGGCCAGACTTGGTCTTCCTTAAAAGTTAAAGTAAGGAAAAAGCATTTCATTACCAAAAAAAAGCATGTATTACAAGATTCCCTATGGATAAGAGAAACTAGTAATGTATTTAGGAAACATTAGCTGTGGCATAAAAGCAATTCATAAATGCTTTATGGGACTCTCGAAACTCATTCATTACTCTACGCTAGTGACAGCTGCCCCATAAACTAATCATGGTGAGGTTCCATTAATGAAAATGTGAATAGAATGAAGAAAAACAGTTTAAGAGATTCAATCATTCTTATACCTGTTAGAGGAAGAGATTCAGTCTTCTATGAAAACATGGAAAATGCCCCCATTTTTCTACTTGATAGTTTTTAACGGATGATCTAAAAGTCTGAATTTCAGCTTCACAGTTGAGAAAAATGAAAGAGAAGAGAGGAAAGCCCCAGGTCTTTTCTCAGTAGCTATCATCTTTTCAAAGAAACTTTCTTTTAAGAAACATGATGCTAATTATATTTCCCTGATAAATGGCACTTGCTGTTTCCCGGAAAACTGCATGGATCACTAGGCAAGAGGTCCATTTTCTCTTTACTTTTTCATGGAAAAAAGCAGCACTTTGTGTATAACTCCTAAGTTAGGGTTTATTGGGGCAGTAATGGGCTAGAGAGGCTATCACTTTTCAGGAAAGCAAAGGAAAACTGATTTTGTCTGATGAGAAAAAAAAGCACATAAACTCTCCTAAGGTCACGCCTTGTACACAGGAGTAGGTGATGCTTTCCTAGAACTGTTTTCACATAGAAACCTTGCATTTAGAACAAGACTATTGTATTACATTAGTCAGAGAATCGTCAGTTATGGAAAACTCCGTTAAAGGCAATATGGTTTAGGGCACACAGGGATGGGGGGAAAGAAGGTGATGGTACTACCAGGAAAGAAATCACAACTAAAAGACAGTTTTTGTTCCCCACAGACAAAGCTTTTGAGCACAAGTCACCTTCCCTTGCTGTTGATTAGGATCCAGCAGTACCTGTTTTAGGTGCAGATTTGTATTCAAGTTGTGAACAGAGAATGAGAATTCTAACACTTTAAACTAGAGGTGGGTAGAACCAATCACTCATTAGTAGGATTGCTGGGGATGTTTTTCGTATGTCCAGCCAAAGCATCCTGAAAATAACTTTTAAATCTATCTGATCCAAGAATGATACTATGACAGTTAAAGTAATAGTGACTAGAGAGTTTCCAGAGAGGATTCAAAGGACACGGTCAGGACACAATCTAAATGTCACTTGTTGCCATCTTGTGATTTAAATATCCCCTTTCTTAATAATTCCCTTAACTGCTGATCCATCTGATGATGACATGTAGTTGGGGCAATATTACTAACCCCATATGAGAAATGAAACCAAGGCCAAAGTGAGGTTAAGGTAAGATGTTTCAAAACTCCAATTTTCTGCTTGTCACAAACAAGGGTAGAAGCAAAGGTTTAACATCCCGAATAGGACAATACACCACCATAAAGCAGGGCTGCTGAGCTCTGCTAATAGCATTCACCTCACACTTAACAACTGTGTATTTCAATCTCCAGAGGAATAAGAGGGCCAAGAAATGGTGCAGCCCTGTGGGCATGCCTTAGGCAGGACAGCAATCCAACCCTATTTGCAATGGTCTTGTCTCACTATTTGCACCAAGCAGAGGAACAAAATTCTGGATTTGGTTGTACTTGAGTTTCTGTTTCTTACACACTACTTTCAGGGCAAGGGGGTGAGGGAAGTAATTTTTGAGCTAGTTATCACTGGAAACCATCTTCTGGAAAAAAGTCATCTTTTAGCCAATTGGACTTAAAAACTATCATGGTGATTTTTTTAAATTTTAAAAATGAGCTCTATCTTATCTATCAAAATGATGCTCCTGATAATAGCCTAATTTTCTAACAATTTTGATGGGTCTGCCATTGGGAACATGCACTGTCTCCCTGTGTCCCCCAGTTGAGGCCAAGATGGCAGCTTTAGCCTTCTCAGAGGTTGGATAGTTGTTTTTTTTTTAATTTAAGCCTTACTTTTAAAAGGGGCAGTAGTCAAAGACCAAAGAAAAATCCTTTATAGCTACACAGCCAATTGAAAAGGCAAAAACCAATGTCATGTAATTAGCTAGAAAGCTAAAGAGCCATGACTATCTGCTCTGCCTTTAAAATAATATATGAACTCTTGGTGGGTAAGGACCAAGGCTTTCCTTTTTCTTAGCAACTACTGAGTTGGTACCTAAGCATCTGTTAAACACCTACTATGTACCAGGCACTGAGCTAAGTACTCGGGATACGAACAAAGGCACAAAACTGTTCTTTCTCTCAGGAAGCTCAGTTGAACATGGGAGTCAACATGAAAACCACTATGTACAAATAAGATTTATAGGATAGAGGCAGAGCCAAGATGAGGGAGTAAAGGCAGGGATTCACCCGAGCTCTTCCCCAAACCTTCCTAATACCTTTAAATAATGACTCTAAACAAATTCTAGAACAGCAGAACACACAAAAAGATGGAGTGAAAATTTTCCAGCCTAAGACAGCTTAGGAGATTGGCAAGAAAGGTCTGTTGCAACAGGGGAGGAGCACAGTCCAGTGAAGATGGGGGCAGTGTAGACCAGGTCCCAGCAAACCAGGAGCAGGCCTTTGGACAACTGAGTCTGTGGCAGCACTGGTGCTTTCCAGACCTCTTGGCCCCGCCGATGGTAAGGGGATTGGATAATGGATCAGAAGGAGATTTACAGGGGTCCCTTTGCTGGCACCAGTGATAGGACTCTGTTGCATTGCCTATACTTGGATCTTTGTCACAGTCCTGGGTCTTAGTCCCATGTGAGAAGGAGCACTAGCACAGCAAAACTTGTGGTTGCAGGGCAGCAGGGACCCTGGTCACAGTTCCAGGGCTGAAAAGAGTACTTGTGGTCACTCACAAATCAGTGCACAGTACAGGACAGTAGTAAACACATCTCTTCCTAGAACATACCACCACTCTGGAAGAGCCAAAAACTTACAGGGTCCCTAGAATTACCTCTGAAAACTGATGTACAAAAACCTGAAGCTTGGGGCAGTGCCACCTCCACTTGGGAAGCAGAGACCCACTTTAGCATAGAGTTAAAAGTCAAAAAAAATAAAATAAAATAAAATAAAATAAAATAAAATAAAACAAAATAAAATAAAGTAAAAAAAAATAGGCTGGAAAATGAGCAAACAACAAAAAAAATCTAA